ATATTAATTTAAAATATATTATAGTTTTATACAATAATTTTAATTGATTTTTTATTTTTATATTTATCTATTAAATAGTTAATTATATTTTTAAAAATGTCTTATATTAAAAATATAACTACTTTATATAACATAACTATTAATAACAATAAAATAAATTTCAATTATCTATAGCTGTAGTACTAATCCAATCGATAATATTTGATACTCTAATAAAAGTCATCCAATAATCAGACTGTTTGGCCAAACATGTGGGGTATTTCAGTGTTTTATTCAACTGAACCAAAATATTTATGCCGATGAGGACAGCCCTACCCGAAACAAATTGAATCAATGGTCCTCCAGAATCACCCTGTGCTCAAAATATATAGTATTTATTATACTCTATAAAAATTAATTATACGGTTAATAATATAATAACTATAGTTTTAATTGTTTGCTAAATTAAATAACAATTAAATTGTCAGTAAAACCAATTATAATTAATAGAAATAAATATTACTTTACAAGTAGCGGCACCGGTATCCATAGGGAATCGATAGGCAATTATGAAAAGCCCTTCTCTATCAGTGCTGTTATACATTAATGGCATTATTTGTGTCCAACCGATCCGTACAAAGTCATCATTGGGTATGTCGTCATCTAAATATCCAAAACCAGATAACAGTGCCAACTCTTTGTCATTGTTGACAACTCCGATATCAGGCAAACAGATTCCGTTCATTGGAAGCCATGATTGTGGAGTATCTGGTGTTTGAATGGGTAGATCCTCATCCAGTTTGATGAGTCCAATATCGTAATCATATGATGACTGTCCATATGAAGGATACAACAAATGTGTGGCCACTTTATACGGCCTACCCTTATGTCGCTTATCTAGTATTGCCGGATAAACAGCAATGCTTTCTATTTCATCATTACTGACAAAACAAAAATATATTTATAGAATTTAGAATTTCATTAACAAATTTAAAAAAATATTATACTCTAATAGATGAGCGCAAGTAATAATCCATCTTTTGTTAAGTATAGTACCGGTTCCCCTAAAACTGTTATTATTTCAAAAATTTATTAAATTTTAAAAAATTAATATTAATTTTTTTTTAATTACCTTAGTTTTTTGAGCCAAAGTGTCGAAATCGATAGTTTAATATGAACTTCAATGTAGACAATCCACGGCAGTTCTCCCGGTTTGGCCGGTCGTCCGTTTTGTATATCCATTGACTCATTTGATGACCACTTTAAACAGTTTCCAGTTGTAGTCAACAGTGACTGCCGTCCGATACCACACGTGTCGAGCGTTACGTTCGGATAGTGTTTGATCTGTGAGTGAATGCAAACACTGAACGACACCAATACTGATGACAACAATACTATTAATCAAAATAATTATAAATATATTTAATTTAAATAATAAAAATGTTTTCAAATAATTTTATTTGAGTTAGAGTTAAGTAAATAAATATACAAACATAATGTTAACATTTCATGTATTTTGTGTTTTCAATGATTTGATAACAACTTTTACTTTTAAGAAATATTTGTGTTTTTTGTAATAATTTTTAAAAAGTATTAATAACTTAATATAGTCTGAAATATAATAAACAGTATATTAATTTCCTTAAACATTTAATATTATTTTTAAATATGTATCTTTTAATTAGTATTTATAGTGTAAATATATATATATTAAATTTCTATTAAATCTTATGATTTTATAGTATATTAAATTGCAAAAAAAAAAACAATACAATTTATTATGAAATTTTATATAACACTATTAAATACTTAAATAAAAAATATTTATCTATTTATTGTACAAATAAGTTGAAGTCTTTTGCCGAACTGGAGTTCTATTAACTGAATTACAAAATTTCAGTATTTGTCAAAAACAGTTGGTATGTCTGGTCAGAGCTATACTACGGGACAATCGTATACTAGTCTTAGTTGAGGCGACAGCTAATGTCGATCACAGAACCGATGCATTAATTCAACGAACAATTTGCCAAAAGTTTTTCGTTACTGTACTGTCATTACGATTGCTCACAGACTCAACACAATCATTGATTTCGATAATATATTGGTATGAATTGGAAATCATATATTTGTCTATATTTTTTTATTATTAATTATTTATATATAATTTGATGCACAGGTATTGGATGCGAGAGAGAGATCAGTGAGTTTGGTATACCTCATAAACTATTGGAATCAAGTAATGGTTTGTAAAGCAAAGTAGTCAAACAGGAAAAACATATGACTATCCGATTAAAACAATTAGCAAAACAACACTATAATCATAAATTTAATAATCAAATCAAAGATAACGATAGTTTACAAGAAAGATACCGAAACTGATTGAATGTAATTTAGTTAAAAAATTATGTTTAAAAATACAAATTATTTATAATTATTATACTTATTTAATTTTAATATATTTATAATTTATATTTTATTACAAAATCATATATAAATAATGTTTAAAATAATAAATTCTAAAAAATAAAAATATAAATAGATAAAAAAAATTATCATTATATTTAATTTAAACAAAATAAAGTAAAGTTTTCATATTTAGGTGGCTATCATTATTGGCTTCTAATAATAAAATGAGCATCATAATTTTAAGTTAAAAAATCATTATTTCACGAATTTAGTAATAAAGATATAAGAATATTTCTTAATTCGTAACCGGCTTCTGGATCCAATACAATGACATTGAGTTGAATTATAGGGCGCGTATGTCTGTCACAGGTAATGGACCAGTTTATGACGGTTCCGATAGACTATCGGGTATTCAAATATATGAATATTTGAATAACATAATACCCGATATGTTCAAGGATTTGACGGTCGATAAAGAATCGGTTGGTTTTACTATTAACGGCAAAATGCGGACAACGATCGGCATCAGTGCTACCATTGAGACCAAAGAGATGTCTTTGAAAACAACAACAACAACACCAACACCCACCACCACAACAACAACTACGACACCCACCACCACATCAACAACTACGACACCCACCACCACATCAACAACTACGACACCCACCACCACATCAACAACTACGACACCCACCACCACAACAACAACTACGACACCCACCACCACATCAACAACTACGACACCCACCACCACAACAACAACTACGACACCCACCACCACATCAACAACTACGACACCCACCGCAACGACAAGTCGTAATAAAACTGGTAAATCAGATCCAAATATAATTAATTACTACATAATTGTCCCAATAGTAGTAGTAGTAGTGGCCATTGGATTGATAACTGTATTGATTATTGTATATTATATCTATTGTATACGCAATCGTCGGGCATTTAATGTCATAAATCCCAATCAAATATCTGATAAATATTATATTAATTTTCGCATTTAATTTAATACAGCATTAATATTATCTAATTTAAATTTGTAATATTGTTTGCTTAACTATATATGTTAAAATTTTATGATTAACATACTATATTATAATTATTATATGTTATTAATTATATTAAATCAATTGCTTTAATCTTCAATCTGAATATATACTATTTTTATTAATTAATGATATAGTTTATTTTATTTTATATAACAATATATTTTAATCAATATAAATGTACTGTATATTTTTATTAAATATTAATTTTAAATGAATTATTGTTTTACATATATAGTAAAAAACAATAATTTCAATGATTTATTAATTTTATATTCATCTATAAATTTGTTAATTATAATTTTTAAGAAAATGTCTATTAATTTATAACTACTTTGTATAACATAATTATTATTTATTAATAATTTATTATTTTTATATTCATGTATAAACTTATATTTAAAAACTATCTTATAATTAACATATAACTAATTTGTATAAAATAACTTTAATAATTGTTAATAAAAAAAATACAATAAAATAGATTTCAATTATCAATAGCAGTATTAATAATCCAATGGATAATATTTGCTACTCTAATAAAATACATCATTGAATCAGACTGTTTGGCCAAACACGAGGCATTTGGTAGTGTTTTGTTGAACTGAGCCATAATACTTATGCCGATTAAGACAGCCCTTCCCGAAACAAATTGAAATAATGGTCCACCAGAATCACCCTGTGCTCAAGTGTATAATATATTAATGTAATATTACTGTATTAGTTATAATTTTATTAAGTATGAAATTTTTTGAATAAAATATATATATATATATATAAATAAATAATATTACACTACAAATAGCGGCGCCGGTATCCACAGGGATTCTATGGCCAATAATGAAAAGCCCTTCACTATCAGTGCTGTTATACATTAGTGGCAATATTTGTGTCCAACCGATCCGTACAAAGTCATCATTGGATATGTCGTCATCTAAATCTCCAAAACCAGACACCAGTGCCAACTCTTTGTCATTGTTGACAACTCCGATATCAGGCAAACAGATTCCGTTCATTGGAAGCCATGATTGTGGAGTATCTGGTGTTTGAATGGGTAGATCCTCATCCAGTTTGATGAGTCCGATGTCATAATCTTTTGATGATTTTCCATATGAAGGATACAACAAATGTTTGGCCACACTATAGGACCGACCCTTATGTCGCTTATCTAGTATTGCCGGATAGATAGCAATGCTATCTATGTTTTTCTTACTGAGAGGATATTGTAAATCAAATAATAGTATCAAATCCTAATAATTGTAAAACATTATTATTATTATATATTTGATGTAATAATACTTTAATAGGTGAGCGCAAGTAATAATCCATTTTTTGTTAAGTATAGTACCGGTTCCCTTATAACTGTTATTATTTCAATATATTATTATCAGGTTTTTAAATAAATTATTTTTTTTAAATAAATATTTAGTTTTTATATAAATACATTTTAGGTTTGAACCAAAACGTCAAAATCGATAGTTTAATATGAACTTCAATGTAGACAATCCACGGCAGTTCTCCCGGTTTGGCCGATCGTCCGTTTTGTATATCCATTGACTCATTTGATGACCACTTGAAACAGTTTCCAGTTGTAGTCAACAGTGACTGCCGTCCGATACCACACGTGTCGAGCGTTACGTTCGGATAGTGTTTGATCTGTGAGTGAATGCAAACACTGAACGACACCAATACTGATGACAACAATACTATTAATCAAAAATAATTATAAATATTATTAAAATAAACTTTTTTTTAAACCTAAAATAATTAAATATACAAACATAATGTCAACATAGCGTATACTGTATATTAAACTTCTGGATTTGCTTTAAGTAATTTAATAAAAACTTTTAATTTTATTTATGTTTTTATTTGTTTATTATAGAGTAAATTACTATAAATTTTATTAACTAACTTTTATTAAACTATTATATTATATTTTGCATATCATATAACAATTGTTAAACATATTTTATATTAATTTTACTTAAATTTTAAATATTAAAATTTTTAGGATATTTTGATTTTACAAAAATATCAAATATCTAAAATGAATTTTTATAATATTATTATTTTACATAAATTTAAATATAAATCTAATATTAATATTAAATATAATTTATATATTAGGCTTTATATAACATAATCAAAATCATAGATATATCTAATTCTTAGATTAATATATATTATATTTTATACATTTTATTCTATTATATATGTTTATAAAATATTAATTTAAAATATATTATAGTTTTATACAATAATTTTAATTGATTTTTTATTTTTATATTTATTTATTAAATAGTTAATTACATTTTTAAAAATGTCTTATATTAAAAATATAACAACTTTATATAACATAACTGTTAATAACAATAAAATAAATTTCAATTATCTATAGCTGTAGTACTAATCCAATCGATAATATTTGATACTCTAATAAAAGTCATCCAATAATCAGACTGTTTGGCCAAACATGTGGGGTATTCCAGTGTTGTATTCAACTGAATCCAAGTATTTATGCCTATGAGGACAGCCCTACCCGAAACAAATTGAATCAATGGTCCTCCAGAATCACCCTGTGCTCAGAATATATAGTATTTATTATAGTTTATATAAATTAATTATATGGTTAATAATATAATAACTATAGTTTTAATTGTTTGCTAAATTAAATAAAAACTAAATTTTCAGTAAACCTATTATAATTAATGTAAAACACATTTAACATATAATAGAAATAAATATTACAAGACAAATAGCGGCACCGGTATCCATAGGGAATCGATAGGCAATAATGAAAAGCCCTTCTCTATCAGTGCTGTTATACATTAATGGCATTATTTGTGTCCAACCGATCCGTACAAAGTCATCATTGAATATGTTGTCGTCTAAAGTTCCAAAACCAGATAACAGTGCCAACTCTTTGTCATTGTTGACAACTCCGATATCAGGCAAACAGATTCCGTTCATTGGAAGCCATGATTGTGGAGTATCTGGTGTTTGAATGGGTAGATCCTCATCCAGTTTGATGAGTCCGATGTCATAATCTTTTGATGATTTTCCATATGAAGGATACAACAAATGTTTGGCCACACTATAGGACCGAACCTTATGTCGCTTATCTAGTATTGCCGGATAAACAGCTATGCTTTCTATGTCATCCTTACTGACAAAACAAAAATATATTTATAAAATTTAGAATCTCATTAACAAATTAAAAAAAATATTATACTATAAAAGGTGAGCACTGGTAATAATCCATCTTTTGTTAAGTATAGTACCGGTTCCCTCATAACTGTTATTATTTTAATAATTTATTAAATTTTAAAAAATTATTATTGTTTTTTTTAATAATTACATTTTAGGTTTGAACCAAAATGTCAAAATCGATAGTTTAATATGAACTTCAATGAAGACAATCCACGGCAGTTCTCCCGGTTTGGCCGGTCGTCCGTTTTGTATATCCATTGACTCATTTGATGACCACTTTAAACAGTTTCCAGTTGTAGTCAACAGTGACTGCCGTCCGATACCACACGTGTCGAGCGTTACGTTCGGATAGTGTTTGATCTGTGAGTGAATGCAAACACTGAACGACACCAATACTGATGACAACAATACTATTAATCAAAAAATAGTTAAATATTAAATATATTTAATTTAAATAATAGAAATGTATTGAAAGTTTTTTAAGCTTTTATTTATTGAAAAAAAATAATTATATAAAATATTAACAAACATAAGTTTAACAATATTTTCATTTTGATATCTTATAATATTTTAATTATATTTCAGTTTTAATCTAATAAAAGTTATTAATACTAATACTTATACAGTATTAAAAATATTATTATTTAAACTAATATTATTATTATTATTTATTTAATATTGTAATAATAATAATAATTTTTTTTAATTTAATTATTAATAATATAATTCTCAAGAATTATACTATTTAAAAAAAATAAAAAACACTTTAAACCAATAAATAGTTTCTTAATTGATTATTAATACTTGAAAATGTTATTTAAATATACTTGTATTGTATTACAAGTTTTTATTTCAAATATTATATTATTATTTTTTTGTTTTTATAAATTATAATATTTAAATTATATATTTATTTACACATTTTTGTATTATATAATTGCATGAAATATTTTTTATATAACAAAACTATTCTATTATTTTTTAAATAGATTTATTTATAAATAATTATATTTAAAAAATTATATATCGTATTCACTAATGATTGATTTGCATTTAAAAAAAATCATATAAAATATTAACAAAAATAATTTTAGCAAAATTTTCATTATGATATCCTATAAAAATTTAATTGTATTTCAAATCTCATATTAATAAACCACAAACAATAGTGTCCGTAACCGACATTGTAATCGTAACCGGGGCCTCGGTGGCCGAAAGGCTAAGTTGTCGGCTTTCGAGTACGACAACCCGAGATCGATACCCGTTTGGGCCACATAAGTATGTTTGGTAGTTTTAACGCGAGGAAACAGATAATAATGTGTACTCAGAACTGTCCACATATAAAGTCTGTGACAGAAGGGTGCGAACTACAGCTAAGCAAAGTAAGAAAGTTATGACAAAAATTATTTATTTCATATATACAATATAAGTAGATTTTAAGTATACAAAAATTTGTTATATTTGTAATTTTATGATAATAATTGTTATAATTATTATTTTTACTACTATTACTATTACTATTAGTACTATTACTAATCAGGGGATTTAGCATAGAAGTGTGAAAATTTTATCCACATATTGTATTATTGCTAATAATTTATTAGTGTAGTATTAATACAAGTTTTTTGTTATAAATTTAAATAAAAGTTATTTGATATAAAATCTTTGTATGTAAATAATAATCCCTTTATCTGTATATATTTACTTAATTATTTAATGTGTTTCTTACTTACTAATGCCCAGCTTTAGTGCGAACTGGTTTTTGCTTAATATCTCTATAACTAATTGAGCTGGATCAATAAAAATTTTATGAGAAACATGGAATCCTGGGACGTATAACTTAGTAAAGTTAGTTTTTTTTGTAGATTTAAGCTTATGTAGCTAAGCACCGGTATGTGTCATATCTCAAATTATAATAAATAGCTAAATTCTGATAATGTGAATTTAAACTAGGTGAAAATTCATTAGACAAGTGTTTCGGTAATTTTTTAAAAAATTAATAAATTTTAAACAAAAACAAAAATATGTAAAATTTGTGATATTTTGAAATTTTCTAGAAAAAAAGTGTCAAGGTATTTTGTTATGGGATTAATTTAATATTATTTGTTATTTTATAAGAAATAATTATTCTATTTACAATTTTTAATTATCATGCTTAGTTTTGAGATATTAAAGAAAAACATTTTTACCATTATATAATTTTTTTGTATAAACTTTTATTAATGATATTTGTTACTAAATTTATATAATGGTAAAAATGTTTTTCTTTAATATCTCAAAAACTAAGCATGATAATTAAAAATTGTAAATAGAATAATTATTCCTTATAAAATAACAAATAATATTAAATTAATCCCATAACAAAATACATTGACACTTTTTTCTAGAAAATTTCTAAATATCACAAATTTTTAATTTTTTTGTTTTTTATTTAAATTTTTTTAATTTTTTAAAAAATTACCGAAACACGGCTTTAATGGCCGCCACAACTAAATCATCGGGTTTTTTGTCACTATCATCATCGACTAGTAGACTAATCGGCGATTGCTTGTTGTTGTAAATGTTTTTATTTTTGCTAATCAAGTGTTGGCCAAAAGTTTTTTATCGCTACTAAATTGTTTGTCACTCTTGTTTCTACCCCTACTACTACCCCTCTTATACTAAACTTTGTTTTTTTTAAAAAACAGTTTGCTTAATTGACAAAATAAAAATATTTTTATTATATTTAAAAATTAATAAAATTTAAAACTATAATAAATAAACAACATTTTTTTTTGTTTTTTTTTTGTTTTAATTCATTGTAAAATAATTATTTTTTTTTAAAAAAAATACATAATATAAATTTAATTGATTATTCAAATTATTTAACAACAAAAAATTTAAACAACAATTTAAATAATAATTTTTAAATAGTAAATAGTTTTTTTAATAAATAAAACAATTAACATAGCAGTTCAATAATTATTTTATTTTACTATTATTTTAGATTTTAGTTAATAATAATAATAATTAATTAATTATTATTAAATTATTAACGTCCACTTGGAATTCCATGACATTCATATTGTTTAGTAGAGTCAATGTAAACACATTGCTCTTTAGGGTGACAATCACTATCTTGTTTACATTCATCGTCTGATTGGACAGTAGTTGTCAAACATGACATATAGACACAGATGACTATCATCATCATCAACGACATCAATGACCGCAACAACAACAACATAGAACAACAGGGCTTAGTTGGAGCACCGGTAGTAGTAGTAGTAGACTTATTATAGTACAACATTGTAAACAGTCGGAATCTAAAAATTAAAAAAAACAGTTTAATTTATTTTTTT